TGTGTGTGTGTGTGTGTGTGTGGCCAGCTCAGTCCACCAGGGGGCGGGGCTGGCTGGCATGTGGTGCTGGGGATTGAACCGCGGTCCCTGTGTTTTGCTTAGCTTAGCTTGTTCTAAGTGGGTGCTTTAGACCACTGAGCCATCTCACCAGCCCCTCTAGTTTTGATTGGAACTAACTTTTATAATACCAAATTCACTACTTTATTTTGAATGCAAAATGATTATAGGGACAATATGAAATAAAGTACTTTTAATTCACATTAATCCTAACAGTGTACTTTATAGGGGTTACTTACCACTTGCTTGACAGTTTGAATTTTTGCCATTTTATACCATGTGTTTTCAGTAGAATTCTGCCATATTACGTAACCACAGGCAACCCAGGCTAAGTGTCGGACTGGCTTCATTTGTGGAGGCACATTTCCAAAGCTGTCTGGTGGGGAAAACATTTATAAATGAAATGTAATCCTTCTGTATATTTAGTGCTAACCTTTTAAAAAAATCTAAATTCTAAGTCATGTCTTAGTTTTCTTTAAATGTATGAAGAAACAATTTAAGTCTTGGATTTGTAAAGGATTAAGACTGTTTCTGTTGGATTAGTTTGAAAGTCAGTATTTTTGCCAAAGCCAGGATATTTACAGGCCAGGTAACATCTAACAATTTTGAGCATGAGTAAAGTCAGTCTTAGAGTTGAAAAAATAGTTTTCCACTCCCTATGTATTCCATACCTGGAATATTTTGTGCTTCTAGTGGCTGCTTCATGGCCTTGAGTCTTTGATAAAATGTGTTATCTTCTTCATCTGGGTTCTTCCCAATGTCTCCTTCAAATGTGAAGTTGACTTCTGGTGCAGTACCTTGTCCCGTTGGAGGGTAAAGTACTTCAGCTTTGCAGTTCACCGTAACTTGCTGTTTGAAACATTTTTATGAAAGATCCTTAGTTACAGGTGACCAGCCATTACTAATTATTACTATTCTCTGAGCTAGGATTTAGAGCACTGACTCTTAATGGTGTTTCAGACTTGACTTCAGAGTAATTGATATGAGGTATCTAACTGGGCCTGACCCACTAATTGTCTAAAGATACCATACAAACACCCTAAAATAGCTATCTTACCTTATAACTAAGTCTCATAATCTTCTAAATTCTAATCCTGCAACTTTGAACTTTGAATATATTTCAGTATTAATGGAGTGTTCCATTTGCAAGGCCAGATTTTATTCTGTCTATATACCAGCTCAAGACTGGTATTTTTTTCCTTCTCTGGTACTGGGAAATGAATTCAGAAATCTTAGCATGAGCTGAGACAGGATCTCAACTAAACTGCTCAGGCTGGCCTTGAATCTCAGTCCTCCTACTTCAACCTACCAGAGTGCTGTGATTATTTTTTTTAAGTTTTTCTATAATTCCCACCTTTTGCTCCTGAAATAACACATTTTGTTTCAATTGCAAAGACAGCAACCTCGATATAAAGTTAAAAGATTGTAGCATATGGCTGTGCTTTATAAAGATAACTGTCTGGCAGTTCAAATGCCTTTCAGTTAATTTCCTTACATTAGCATTTATCTCCTAAATGATCCTCAAAAAAAGAACAAGCTTTTTAAAATTTCAAGATGGTTATATTGCCATTTGTAATTTCCTTTTAAATTTGTCCCACTAATTTGACGTGTGTGTGTGTGTGTGTATTTAATTTACTTGTCCTGTTAATAAAAGACACTCAACAATATTATCAGTTAACCATTCCATTGCTCATAAATATGTCTAGAAACACCTGCTTTCTTCAAATAATCAAAAACAGACCTAGAAAGGTAGGCTTAAAGTGTTCAAGAGTAGAAAATCAGGTACTAAATTCAGTTATATAAAACATAAATTCAGACCGCCCTATGAGTATGTAACATAAGGTAATTTATTGAATTGTAGTATAGTCTATTTTCTAAATTTTACAACAGAAATAAGATGAATCTCAATACACCAAGATAGTAAAAATTACCCCATTTTAAGCTTTGCCCATGTGGTTAGTGTTTTTGCATTTTTTAGAGACCCAACAACCTTAAGAAATAATGATGCCCTAGATTAAATCCCAGCAAGAATGATCTGGAATAGGATGCAATTTTTATGTACTAAAACAGGCATTTCACTTACTTTTTGGATAATTTCTTCTACAGAGAATTTAAGATGATACTTATGTCCTCCTCCTGGAATATCCTAAAATTAAGAAAGTGTGGCAGAGAGAAAATAATATTATAATAACAAATGAAACATTTGCATTTTTAGGAGTCCATTCTCTTTTGTTTGGAAGGACTGTCTGTTGGAGGAAATGATTAAAGCTTTATATCTTAAAAAAAATCTACGTTACCGGGTATATAGTATCTAAGTTAGCAGGTTCTCTAGCAAGTTTACTAAGAAGAAAAGCATAAAAATGAACTGGGCCTAGCTCAGTTCTAATCATCAGGCTTACTTTGGATCTGTCATCTCAACATCTTTTAATTCTAAAAAAGACAAACACACCTTGGAGAAGACTGTTTTGTAAAGCCAGCATACCGTCCACATAGCGTGAATGTGAATTCCATTTTGAGGCAGATGACTGCAAAATGGTTGGCATCCTAATACATTGAAGTACTGTTTTTACTTTCATATTAGTGGGCCCACAAATAATACTTTAACAAATCTTGTAACAGTAAGAAATGTGTAGATATTTTACTTTTAAATCAAGAGACAAATTGAATGATGTTACTTGTTCCTAAATAAAATGTATTGCATCTTAGCTCCTAAGGACTGTTAGCAGTTATGTCAGATAAAAATAAGTGACAGCCTCCAAATACATATAGTTAATATGCTAGGGCCATAAACACTAGCCAGAGGAGCACATACATAATTTAGGCAGTCCCTGCAGTCCCTGTGGCCTTCGGATGGTTAAAAGTGAGGCATCAGTCCAGGACACTTTTGTCCTCTGACTTTGACTGTCAGTGTATCTCGCTGTTTCCCACCTTCATTTTGGTCAAAGGGTCTAATAAGGATTGCTCTTAAAATTTAGGCAATGGTGAGTCATTTGGAGGACGAGAGCTTTGTGTGATCAAGATTGGAGTATTTCCAGGACTGGTCAAGAAACGTGGTAGCTGATTCTTTCGAATGACTCCTACAGGTCTCATTTGAGAAAATTCCCACCCTCCTATTTCCTTGTAATAGTGGGCATAAAAGCCATTACTGGTGTTTCTGATATTTCCGCCTTATAGTGAAAATAAAAGACAACAAACTGTTCCAGCTGTCTGCAGACAGTCCAAAGGGTTGAGGGTTAACCAGAGAAGCTACAGGGGGCGGGGCAGTGCCTAGATGGGGCTCGGAGAATGGGTGGGGGGCACAGGTCTCAGAGCGGCACTCACCTCCTTGTGGGCCTGCTGTACAGCCTGCACCAGGAACACTTTGTGGGGCGTCCCTTGCTGGTAGTTGATGCAACTCTCCGCCACCGAGGCCGCCCTGGAAGCTGCGTAGTGGTTCGGCGAGATTTCCATCTGGGCGAGCGCGGGCTGCTTTGGCCTAACGGGAGGGTCCATGCGCGCCCGCTGCCTGCCGCCGGGTAGCTTGTGCGGAAAGAAGGCGCGCCAGGCTCGGGCTGGGTGTGCCCTGGATGTGAGCTCCTTCCCCCCTCTTCCTCCTTCCTCCTTGCTCAGGAAGCGGCTCTGTGTGCGGCGGCTCCCAGAGTCTTAGAACCTTGGGAGGCCAGGCTCGGAGCCCCGCCCGCTCGCGGAGTCTTGGCAGAGCCGCTCTTACTGGAGGAGAAGCTGGCCAATTGTTACTCGCCAGGGCGTGCAGGTGTGGGCCACGGCGGGAATTGTGTTAGAGTGCTAACCTTTAGGGAAGCGCAGGGCGGGGCTCTCAAGCCTTCGCTCTTACCGGGTCTCTTAACGCCTCCAGTTTCCCCTCCTGAGACATTGGCTGCTGCCCTTAGTACAAACGTGTACACTGCGCAGGGCCTCACACAGGGCAAAGTGCACGTGTGCCAGGTCCTGTGAGTCCGTCCTCCTTTGTGCTTCCATTGCTAGAGTCCGGGAACAGCATGTTCATCCCCAGCTTTTATGGGGTTGTGTCAGTTCTGCCCAAACGCAGATATGAGAGACCGCAAGATACAGCACACCATTGTATTAGAGGACTGTATAATTTGGATGAGAAGTTTTTAAATGCTACTGTACACCCCTCTGCCTTTACTGATCTTAGAAAAATCTTTTGATCTTTTGATACAACACCATGCTTCTAACTTGAACTACTTGAGTATTTTGGTTTCATGATGAAAACACTCTTAAATACTGAATACATAGTATTACTTGAAATAGCTTCTAACAAAAGCAAGGTTTTATAGCTGCTTCTGCAGGCGTGAGCTTGGTAAGTAGTGCATTTTCATTCTTCATGAATTTGTTTTGTCACATTTGAGAAATTGTAGCATAGGCAGTTCTTTGGATGGATCAGGAAGCTAAGGTTCCTTTTAATCAGAACTATGGCCAGAACTTCACTTTGGCTGGTTGACTTATTCTGTTTTTAAAAACATGGTTTGAAGGCTCTTTGGGTAGACTTACCTGTTTATGGTGGTAATGCTATAAAAAATAAAGTGAACAAAAATGCATCTATTGCAATGCGTTGCTGTCTTTATAGACTTAAAATTTATAAACGATTTTCTTTGAAGTAGATTTTAAAAAATCTTTCTAGTTATATTAGCCAACAACTACAGTATCTAAAGAGTAAAAAAAAACGAGGGCCAGCCAAATATCTCAGCGAATTGCAGGGGCCAGGGGTTTGGATCCCCAGGCCTGCCATGCCAGCCCCACCCCGGGCGCGCTGAGACTCCAGTTGAGACTGGGCGTGGTAGCATGTGCCTGTAATCCCAGTTCTTGGGAGGCTTTAAACAGGCGGATCACTACAAGTTTGATCTAGTAGTGAGACCCTGAACACCCTGTAGACCCTTCCCTAAAAAAATACCAAAAAGCCCCAAAAGAATGAAATGGGTTTCTTTACTTTTTCCTTTTTCCTTCTGAGAGAGGGTCTCCTCTGTAGTGCAGGCTGGCCTCCAAACTTGGGGTCCTTCTGCCTCCTGGGCACTGGGATCACCGGTGTGAGTCACCACACTCGGCAAAGTTGTTTTTCCTCTTAAGCCTTTTCTTAAGAAGCTGAAAGTGGGTTTTTTGTTGTTGTTGTTTTTGTTTTTGTTTTGGATAGGTCATTTGTCACCCAGGCTCTTAGGTTGTGTGTGTGTGTGTGTGTGTGTGTGTGTGTGAATTTTTTAAATTAAATGCTTCTTGGATAGCATCCAGGAAAAAGTGACTTAGTACATACTGATGCCTCAAAAAGCACTCTTCATTGATAATGAAATTTTAAGTTTCACAAATTGCTAGTTATATTTTTTTATGCTAATGCCACTTAGAGAAGTAAGAGGTACCAAAGGTTTCTAAACTCACTGTTTTGAAGCCTTAAGAATGCAGTTGTCTGTGGTGGAGAGCTAGTAACATAGATTGTGGTATAGCTGGCCTTTAAAGGTACCTGTACCAGCTTGAGCTCTCTTAAAAATATAATTTATTACATTATAAAGGGGCTTGAGAGGCTGTTTAGGTGAGTTACATTAAGCAAATCTCATGTTTAGGTTCCTGAACTCTTACCCACTCAATCTCATGAATGATAAATTGCCAGCCCATTATCCTCAAACTTGAAATAATGTGTAGATTATCTTCGTGGTCCTCTGGAATCTAGTAAATATACTAGACATTGATGTAAGTATATGAATGTAAAGCCGAAAATGAGTGCTTTATAACTTTGGTGTGACTGTAAATTCAAAACCAATACGCAAATTAATAACATATTTTTAACATTAATTTAACATGACAGATGATGTTTTGCCAAAACTAAATTGCCTGTCTCATGCCAGTGGTCTGACCATAGGATAGAGGTTCTTTTACTTTCAGCAGTTCTGTACAGCTGCCTGCTCAGTGGTCTTGGTTTGTTCACTTTTTTATCTAAATTACTGTAGCATCAGTCTCTTTGCAGTGCCTTCTAGTGGCTTTTGAAGTGAATCATCATTTGTTTGTTTACAATCTTTGTAAACTAGTAGAGCCACAGTGGATATCAGTATGGAGATTTCTTTTAAAAAACTAAAACTAAAAATGCCATTTGATCTAGCTATTCCCTAAATGTCTTCCTGAAAGAGATAAAAATCATATTACAGCAATACATGCACATCCATGTGCAGCAGCACCATTCATAATAGCTAAATATTGAGAACAGTCTATAGCTACCAACAGATGACTGCGTAAAGAAAATATGGTACTGTATTTATATACAATGAAGTGCTACTCTGCTATAAAGAAGGGTAAGTTTGGGCATTGATAGGTAAATGGGTGCACCTTGAGAAGATGTGTTAAGTGAAATAAATCCTACAAGTTGAAGTCTTGCATAGTTTCTCCTACTTGAGAAACCAAAATATAAGTTAAAAAAAAATAAAGGAAATAGGGAGATGTGTTTCAAATGGGAAAGGAAATAGATGTGGAGGTGCCATCTGAATAAATTACCTACAGCTATCAGAGCTCCTATTTGCAAGTACTTGTTCTCTGTCCCAAAGATTTCAGGAGAGAACACTTCTCGGGCAGAAAAGCAGTCCAAAAGAAGTGTGTAGATTCTTTGAAATGTAGGTTGTTGGATCAGGAGCCTTAGAATGAACTTTTTAATTACTTTTAAATTTGGAAATTCAGCATTAGAATTGAAAACTATAGATCACTTTGGTAATGGGCCCCATCTTCATCTACAAGTAAGAACAGAAAGGAGAGAAATCTTTCAATTAACTTCTGCAATAAAATTTTATAGTAAGGCTATCACAGTCAAAAGAAAAGGTGAAAATGATAGAATGGTTTTCATTTAAATTAGAGTAATTTATTCTGCTAATTGCATAATATTGTGTTGATTTCCTCCCTCTTAAATTACTTTCAGGTTTGATTTTACACATAAAAAACAATCAGGTGGTGCAGGCCAGTTTGGGAAAGTGATAGGTGTCCTGGAGCCTCTGGACCCAGAGAACTACACAAAGTTGGAGTTCACAGATGACACGTTCGGGACAAATGTTCCAAAACAATTTATACCTGCTGTAGAAAAGGTAAACTTTAACACAACTTCGTTGCACTTTTATTTATTAAGAAGTTTGTTATTCAATCACAAGATATATCGTTCTTGGGAATTTATAAAAGTTCTGTGTAGGGGGCTGGTGAGATGGCTCAGTGGTCTAAAGCACCTACTTAGAACAAGCTTAGCAAAGCGCAGGGACTGCGATTCGATCCCCCAGCACCACATGCCAGCCAGTCCGCCCCCTGGTGTGCTGAGCTGGCCACACACACACACACACACACATCAATAAAATTTAAAAAAAAAACAAAACTGTGTATATAGTTGTCAAGGAATAATTCATTAAGATCCCCTGTACCTGAGTGTGCTGTCTTCTTTGCTGCTGGCTGATGTTTTCTTTGCTATATTTGTGTTCAGAACTAGTTCTTTATTTGGTAAACTAATTGTAAAATAATTTACCTGTGCCCTTCACAAAATAAGACCATGTAGCATTTCACACATACAAGGAGTTAATGTTTTGTTTGCTTTGCACAGCACTTGCTTTAAAGCTGTTGTATACCTTATGAAATGTGATTTCTCAATCAGTGTATGTATACTTTTTTTTTTTTTTTTTTTTTGCGGAACCAGGGATTGAACTCAGGTCCTTGCGCTTGCCAGGGAAGTGCTTATTCCACTGAGCCATCTCTCTGGCCCCTGTATACATTTTTTTCCCCATAATTTTATTGAGAAACAAATAGCAATGAGACAGTTTCAAACCAAATTGGTAGGACAGTTTCAATAATTAACACATTGCATACATTCTTCCTAGTGGTTAATTGCTGTACAAGATGCGGACATGATATCCTGTTTACAAACACTAATTTTAAAAACATATTACAGCAAAAGACACATTGGCATTAGTGCCACTGAAAATACTCCTTGCTTGAAATGAAGACTTATCCATTGTTGTTACCACTTTATGGAGCACTTTTGGAAATCTTGATGTATAATTTAAAAGACAGTGAATGCTGCAGCTAAGCGCCATCCAGTGGAAAGGCAGGACAGTAAAAACATTGCGGTGTTTTGTCGCCCACCTTAGTTGCTAGATCTGACACCTTCCCTACTTCTGACTCCTCCTAAAGTCTTAGTGACCATAAAAGATAAACATTCTGACTTTAGAATAAATTTAGTAAAATTTAATAAATTGGAACAGCCACAACAGCACAACTAAATACACTCATAGCGGAGGAGTTCCAGAGCTGCTTCAGAATGTGGCAGGAGCAACATAGCACGAGCATATTTGAAGTAAGGGGTAGGTTTTGAGGGGGATTAATAGCAATGTATTTTTTTATGTAACAATCTTGGAACAAATTTTAAAGATTTACTGTATATTTTAATCACAACTCATAAGCATTGTTTTTCTTACCTACTAAGCATTGTTTAGTTTTGGGTTTTTTTTAAGGAGCTCTTTACTTTTGCCTTTTCTGTATCTTTATTGTGAAATTTAAGATTATGCTGTATTTGTAATGGATTATGAGAGTTAAGACTATGAGAAAATGGTCATTAACACTTACTTTCTATAGAAAGCATCACTTTCTATCCAGGTTGCATCTTTAAGTAATATACTTTCTGAGGGGATTACTCACCTAGATACCACAACAGTACCATTTAAAATGCTAATTTAAACTTTATAAAAAAATTTTTTTAATCTTTCATTTATTTATTTATTTATTTGGTACAGGGTCTCACTACACAGCTTGGACATGTAGTGATCCTCCAGTCTCAGCCTCCCCAGCGCTGGGATTACGGGCGTGCTCCATCACGCCTGGTCCAGTGGCCAGCTAGGTGCAGGGCCAGTGTGGCATGTGGCACTGGGAATTGCAGGTGCTCTGACCATTGAGCTATCGCCCTGGTCCTAAAAGGGTTGTTGTTGTTGTT